CCCATGGTGAAAAACTAGGGGTTCCATTTAAAAAAACCATCGTGACCCCTGAATGACCTTCAAAATGACCTTCCAAGGATTTTTCAAGGTCAGCACCATACTTCCCCCGTGTAACCCTAAACTTTTCATACGAAACATTTTTCTCTATCCCTACTAGTTTTCGAGATATTTGACTGGATCACTTCAGATGGTCCACCTTGTATATAAAATATGGTAACATAAAATAAAATTTGTATTATATTTATAAAAGTTTCATTGTGTGTGTGTGTGCGCGCGCGCGCGCGCGCGCGCGTGTGTGTGTGTGTGTGTGTGTGTGTTGCGTGTGGGTAGGTGGGTGCACGCGCGCGCGCGTGTGTAATATATTTATCATGACGAATTTAATGTTAGTATATATATTGCTGCATGTGGTTCTATCTTTGCTTCTTCATTACAGCATTGCCCGGACTTCATTAAATCATTATATATTCTCCATGTGCCGTGTATTCTTCTGATATATGCTATGTAATGTTGACTAGTATACGCGATTACACCGGCTAATCTAAAAATTCAATATAAGGCAATGATGAATTATCATCATAATGAGTGATTTTTAAAAAGGTTTATATAGTCACATGTTCATAAAGACTATGCTTCCTAAATATCTAATGTCACAAATTTAAAAAAATCATGTTAATTACAATTTTTAATTATTAAAAAATTTATATGTCTCTTTTCATGTACAAATAATTTTTACATATTTAAAATTTTTAATATAAAATATTGTAAAAATACCAATTTATCATATATGTATATATACATATAAAGTAAGAAAACGGAATTTTATTTAAATAATGTGCAATTGCAAGGTATATTATTATATTATTACAATATAATATAATGTAATATATTATACCTACTATATTATACAATATTTTAATAGATATTTTATTATGTTTGCGAGAGTAAAATTATTTTACTCATAAATTACAATTCATTATGTATATTTCCATATTTTTTATCCCCTTTTTTTTATTACCCTTGTATTTTATTGTCATAGAAGATTTCTATTCAAGTAGTTATAATAAAATTATTTTTGTGCATGCAAAAAATTAAATGTACTCTATTTCTTATTTATATACAAATTTTTATGTAAGTTTTATTTGTTAGAAACATATTTTTGAATAAAGTTGCAAATATATATCATACCTATGTTCCTGTTTTAAAATATTTATTGTTATAGGAAAATCTTTTAATTGACAACTAATGCCTGTCTTATCATCCAAACATGCCCGAATGTCAAGTTCAATATATAGATGTAAATTAAATTTAACGTATTCAATACGGCGTCCAGGACATCCAGATTGTTGACATTTAACATTCCTTATTTGGAAATTGTGATGAAGTGCTTCTTCCAAGCACATGAATCCTTTTTTATGAATTATTTGATGATTAACACCAAGTACTGATATATTATGTATCTCTTTTTGACATTCATGTGAGGAACATTCAGATATTTTATTGACGCATGGTTGATCTTTAGTAAGATTTGTCCACATCACAGCAATATTATTATATACGTCTATTATATGCACATTGCCAGCTTCTGTTGTTGGTAACTTTAATTCATTATTATTTAATAACAATATAATTCTCTCCTTATAAATAATGGTATTTACATCGTTATTTAAAATTAATTGACAAAATTTTAGGAAATTGTTATTCGAATTATTTATATAATTAAAATAATTTTCATCTTCTAAAGCAACAAATGTAATAATTTGGGCAATCGAGTCAAAAGGACAAGTATTTTGAATTTCATATGTAGTTCCATTGATTTTCAGTGGTTGTAAGAAAGAACCATTTCGGAGGAAGAAATTTTTTATTGATTTTTTTAACTTTCTGTTTTTAATATATTTTATTTCCGGATATGGCTTGAAATATTTGGATTTTTTGTTAGTAAGTCTGTTTTTGTAAGGAGATTTTGTACGTTCTGATAATTTGATATTTTCATTGATTTCTTCATTTTGTTGTAATGAATATGTTTCAATTTCACCTTTATTCATCCAATTTTCATATTGATTCATATCTTCATTGTTATCAATTTCCTTATCAATATTATTATTTATATGAGTAGTCTTTAGGTTATTGTCATTAATATTTAAAACATTATTGTTCATATTAGAAGTTACAATAGCAGCAGATGCTATTTTCATAGTTCCATCAATGGATCGTAAATGCATCTTAATAAATTTGTCTGCACGCAAAGGAGTTTGTACATTTTTGAAAGTGTATTCTCGTAAGTCTTTAAAATATTCTTCACAATGTGCTGATGTTGCACGTACATACTTCGAATTAAATATGGGAGCTAAAACTCCAGACCATAATGGAAATTCTAAACATAATCTTGTTAGTTGTTTATAGAATTCAGGTAAATAAAAAGCATTTAAACGAGAAGCTTTTATATCACTATCTATTTCCGCTTGTATTTTTAACTTCTCAATCCAAATATGAATTTCGTCACTATAGTTATCATCCTCATGATTATTTGCATTCATTATAATATCGTTTTCTTCTATTTCGTCAGTAACTTCTATATTATCAATATCAAGACTAGTATGATGAATTTCGATTGCAATATAATGTTCTAATTTTTTTTTTGCTTCCTTTGCTGGTGAAGGGAATCCCGTACTATAATATCCTTCATATTGTAGAATACTGACGGTTAATGTAAACAATAAAATTGATTCGAATTTTTGGAATGATTGACAACTTATCATAAGTGCAACACATCTTACAAAAAATGTTTTTATTTCGAAATGTTTTTTATCGAAACATTTCCAACGGCAAACAAGTTTTATTAAGTGTGCAACATCAACTCTTATATATGTATCAGCTGGTCGAATAATTTTGGTATTGCAATTATTAATCGCAGAATAGCACGATGATACATATTCTTTAATAGTCATTCGATTAAAAGCAGATGTCATTGCGCCTAAAAAAGCTCTCGAATAATCAGAAATTGCTTCTTCTGGTTTAGTTGCACCCGCACGTAACCATTCTTTAATCCAATATTCAATGGAATTGGTGTCATGTTTCTCAGATATCATTTCATGAACTGGTATTGTTATTCCATCAATGTTTACAACAATGACATATAAAAAAATGTGGCCACTCTTTAAACCATTTGCAATTAAAATTTTTTAAACAAAACTTCCTGTTGCATCCATAACAATTCTTCTATATGGTTTTTTCCGACAATATTTTTTGTATACATGCATTTGCGTTGGAGTTCTGTAATGCACACAAACTTTATCTAAAGTAATTTCATGTATGCTACTGCAGTATGGAGATGTGTGTTTCATTTTTCTTATGGTATAAATTGGATCTTTGCCGTCTTTTGGACCAACATCTAAAGTTTTGTCATGATATTCCTGTTTCACTTTACGACAGATGATTTATATAAAAGAGGAGGTTCAATATCACCAATTTTCATTTCTTGCGTAGCTATCCTTCTTCGCCAATTTGAGACCCCTTCAACTAATAAATCTTTTCCAATCATTGGCCGTTTTTGAAAACGAAGTTGTCGTTTTATTTTTTCATGTGAAATTATCGATATATCTTTTGTAATACACCGCATAATCAAGTCTTCTCCTCTCTTAGGTTCTGTATCTACATAAGCAGTAAAAGGAGATCCACAGGATTTACTTTTGCATTTCCCATTAATTATAATAAAATAAGAACGATTATCAGAAAAAAAAACTTTTGCTCTTTTAAATACATATGCACATGGTAATTGCATATTACTAAATTGACGCCAGAATTCATCGCTAATAATGTCACTCCAAGCACCAGGCTTAAGACAACCATATCTTTTGTCCTTATATTCTATATTCCAGCTTTTATTTCAGTCCAGAGTTCATATGTTATATAAAGATTAAATGTACTTAAATTATGATTCTCTTTAGAAATATCCAATGTAGTATTTGATTGTTCAGTAGTATCTAACGAGGACGTTGTATCATTTTTGGATTTTTCAAGTTTATCTTCTTCAATATTTAAGTTTAATTTCATTTGAGTTAAAATTCCTCGTCTATTTTCACGTACATTTATATATACACTATGTGCATTCCATTTATTATTCAAAGCGTCACTAATACCCTGCCATATCTTTGAAGTATATGGTGGTAAATTCCTATCTTTTAAAAAAACATCACTGAACATTTCAAGAGCTGCTACAGCTTCGTTTACTGATACAGAAACACGTGGCATCTAAAAGGATTAAAGGCTGGATTTATAAAATATCATTAATAATAAATTATTAATATTATTAATAAGATTAAACAATAGAGTGATTCAGACTAGCCGAAGGGTTCGCCGGCACGTACGTATTCCTCATGAAAAACTGAGTCGAAAAGTCCTCTACATTTTTCAATTTTCGCAAAAAAAAGTTTGAAAAAATTCCCAAAAAATCTGAAAAAATTCTTAGAACTCCATGAGAAGAAAATAAATAATTTTTGTCTCATGCAGTTTTTTAAAGTTGATGGTAGTTGAGCAAAAATGATTGAAAACCAATATTCAGCAATTTTTAGTAATTAATATTATTAATATCTCATTAACTGTTGCGACCACTGCAAAATGGTACAGGACTTTTCGACTCATTGTCAGTTTTTCATGAAGAATACGGACATGCTGGCTCCTTCGACTAGTATGAATCATCCTATATATAGGTAAGCAGTTAACCTTAAAAAACTTGAACAGAAAATTATTAATCACACTATCTGTATTAAAGACAAATCTGTATTAGAGAATGGACTGCGCGATCCGTATCTAAGTAGTGTATCAAATGTGGTCGACAATAATCAGAGAGAGGGATCGTGGGAGACGGCCAATCTCCCTCTCATTCCCTCTCCCATTACACCGTTGAATGGAAAGAGATAAAAATGGCCGTCTCTCAGCTAACACAAAGTTACAGTCAATAATCTCTATAAGCATTCGTTTGGTGGTCGCTTACAGATGTTTGGTAGTCTATTCCCGATGATTGGTAGTCGAATAACTGAAAATATCAATAAACGGCACATGCTTGCGAATTGACCCTGTTTGTTTCTAAAGTTCGGATTTTTCGATTGCATATATAGGCTTTGTTCCAAAATAAAAATAATCTATGTCTTTGAGTAAAATCATCTAATATACAATAATGTAACAAGTATATATAATATCAAACACTATAATATGATTACAACATTGTTTGCTTACCTTATTAATAAATGAATTACGTACGAATTATAGAGTTCCCTTAGAAAAAGTATTAGGGCAGTTACATATGCAAGTGAGCAATAACAGTGGGAAGTCACGTGGGTTGGGTCACATGGCACGTTGATCACGTGAGTCACGTGGCCAGAGATGTACATATGTAGCTGCGTTCCGATAGTCACTGAAAGTACTAAAAATCTATAGTTTACGTTGCGTGTACTATAGATTTTCAGAACTAAAAATAAATTTTGAAAAACGGCCTATATATGCTTTCGGGAAAGTCGAGTTATAGAAATGTACATGTTCACGAGTATACATGATTTTTTGATATTTTCAGTTATAATTTCAATTATCGGGAATGAACTACTAGGTCAGTAAGCGACCACCAAACGAATGCTTACAGAGATTATTGTATGTGCAGTCTGCAAAGCCGAGTTTTACAAGTGGGGGGGCCAACTTCACGCGCGTTCGTCTCTTTTTGATATTATTCGTTATATCTTTGACTACCAAACGTTCGGAATGGACTACCAAACATCTGTAAGCGACCACCAAACGAATGCTTACAGAGATTATTGTATGTGCAGTCTGCAAAGCCGAGTTTTACAAGTGGGGGGGCCAACTTCACGCGCGTTCGTCTCTTTTTGATATTATTCGTTATATCTTTGACTACCAAACGTTCGGAATGGACTACCAAACATCTGTAAGCGACCACCAAACGAATGCTTACAGAGATTATTGTATGTGCAGTCTGCAAAGCCGAGTTTTACAAGTGGGGGGGCCAACTTCACGCGCGTTCGTCTCTTTTTGATATTATTCGTTATATCTTTGACTACCAAACGTTCGGAATGGACTACCAAATACCACCAAACGACCACCAAACGAATGGTAATGGTCATTTTTAGATTTTTATTAGTGGGGGGCCAACTTCACACAGCTGAATCCCAGCCACTTGACGTACACCTTGTCTCCCTTCCTGCGCAGTACTTTCTCCACGAGATACACGTCCAGATGAGTAGCGCGATGCAACTCATGCTCGTAAAACGCTTCAGCGATAGATCAGTCACTCCTTGTTAGTCAGTCAATTGACAAATCAGTCATTTCCAACAAAAAAAAAGTTATAAAAATGTATTCAGTCAGTTAGTCAGTCAGTCAGTCAGTCATGTAAAATCTGTGATCCTCGCAAGGTTTGGAGATGCAGTATGAATATTCTATTTACAGCTAGTGTTTTAGGCTCAACAAAATTGCTCACACTTTTTCAAAGGATTTACCGATTAATTCCATACATTTTTCGCTAATAGTTCATCAGCAGTTCGATAGCCTACCAATATCTATTGAATATCTATTGAACGCTGTTCTCTAGATACTTAATAATGCCACGAAGAAGTGAGATATAAAATATCGATGATCGATGTAAGTATAGCAGATAAAATGATTATGTCCTTCGTTATGTTTTTCCATAGTACATATATCGTGTTGTCATCTCTTACGTATATAGATACATTCATATATATATATATATATA